GGAAGCGAGCATCATATGCTTGGAGAAGCATTTTGGAAGGAAGGGCTTTACTCCAAAAAGGTCTCAAGATAAGTGTAGGCAATGGGGAAAGCTTACATGTTTGGACAGACCCTTGGTTAGAAGACGAAGACGGAATCTGTAGACCACCTTTACGAAGACAACGTCTCTTTGATGTAAATTTGAAGGTGGCAGACGTCATAAATTTTCGGACCAGACGTTGGAGTCGCCAAAAGATAAGGACTCTGTTCACTGCTCCAGATATTAAAATTCTCGAGAGAAATCAACCTGTGGTCTCTGAACATGACTCGTGGATTTGGAAGCATACACGAAATGGGATATATTCTGTTAAAACAGGATACGAGTTAGCTTTTTCGGAGAATAATAGGGATTTGGTAGCCTTACATGATGCGCGACCGTCCCTTAATCCGCTAAGGGCGCAGATTTGGGAGCTGCCAGCTCCTTCAAAAATTAAGGCGTTTTTGTGGAAAGCGCTTTCAGGGGCGCTACCGGTGCTTGATGGTCTTCGGAGTAGGGGATTGAAGTGTGACCAGGTTTGTCAAACGTGTGGAGAAGATGGAGAAGCCATCAATCATGTCCTGTTTTCGTGTACTTTTGCGAGACTGCTATGGGCTTTATCTGGTTTCCCAGCTCCTCGTGGTGGCTTTGATGAGAGCTCTGTTTATGCAAATATGAGCTATATCATATCCATCTGGCGTACACGGGATGACATACAGGATAACACGAGGTGTTTTCCTTGGCTATTATGGTTTCTTTGGAAAAACAGAAACTCGTTATTGTTTGATGGAGTTTTGTTTGATGGTGAGAATGTCTGTACCAAGGCCAAGGAAGAAACATATTTGTGGTATACAGCACAAAGGTTGGAGTTAAGGAGTATGGATGATCACAGTGATCAATCATGCCAGGTATCAGATACTTGGCAACATCCTCCGTTTAACTGTGTGAAATGCAATATTGGTGTAAAGTGGGTGGGAAAAACACGTATTGCTGGAGTGGCATGGGTTCTACGAGACCATGCAGGAGTAGTTGTTCTACATAGTCGTCGGTCCTTTGGGGACGTATACTCAAAGGATGAGGCCCAATTTCTAGGAGTGGCGTGGGCAGTCGAAAGTATGATTAGTCTTCGATATCGCAAGGTGCACTTTGCATTTGAAGGAAAGGCATTTGTTGATGCAATAAACAGACCACCAGCTTGGCCATCCTTCAAGTTTAAAGTGACCGAGATTCGAAATCTTTTATACAATTTTTTGGAATGGAGGATGCTACTGGAATCTTATGGAGCTAATGTAGGGGCCCGAACTATTGCTTCTAGCGCTGTTGCTAATTCTAGATACCAGTCTTATGTTGCTAGAGGCCACCCGCTCTGGTGTGCACATGTTTTTGGTCTCTGAGCGGGTATCTAGGTCTGGACTATGTATGTGCTTAGTGTTTGTCTTTGTTGGAGTCTGTAATGATTTTGGATACTTTCTCTCTGGAAATAATATACTAGATGGCAAAAAAAAAAAGTTCTATAAATCATAAAATATGAAATGGGACTAAATATACAATAAAGTAATCGTGGTGTCTTGTATCATTATCGTTGTGCCAAAATTTAACATAAAAACGGTTATCCATCGATTCAGCTTGCAGGTTTTTTGAATAATAGATATTTCTTAAAATTCAAACCAGATTATATATCAGTTTACTGGGTTCTTGATTCAATCGCGGATCCGGATCGGATTTTAAAACATTGATTTAAATGAAAAAAAGTTTTAGACGAAACTTTTACAAATTAACAAAATATTATTATTATTAACGAAATTTTTCATCATAAAGTGTTCCGTACTTTAAAAACGCGGGTTAAAAATTTAAGTAACGACCACTTCACTTACAAACTACGCGAGACCCATTTTTTCTATAGGTAAAATCTACTCGACTAACTTTAACGTTAGTGAATAGGATTATCATGGGATGATCGTGGGAAAACTTGTTGTGTGGTGGAACAAGGATGGGTTTGACGCAAGGAAGTTGAGAAGCCGTTAGAGGGTAGAAGAAAAGAGCTTCTCACCAGCTCAGGTTTCCTCGAGAACCGGCTAAGAAACAGAGACATGAATGTTCCACCTTCTCCACCTAAACTCTTTCCATTGATGTAGAGAATGGCCTTGCCCACCAAGGCAAGTTTACTATTTATATTTTTTTATTAGTATATACTTTTTCCTTCATGATATTAGTAAATATATACGTAACTGAATATTTGGTAGTTTATTTTGGATGTTCTTAGCAAAAGAATACTGTATTTGGTAATTTACTGCAAAGATATTTATTTTTCTATTTTTTACAACACATTTCATCTTATTGGCCGTTTATTTACGATTTATTGTTTTGATTACTTTTTCCGTCATAAATTTCCGTAGTTGCTTATTTGGTAATTTATTTTGGATGTTCTTAGCAGAAAGAAAGATATTTTTTTCTATTTCTTTAAAAAACATTTTCCCTTAATATTTAACATTGTAAACTGTTTTTTACATACAAACAAAAACATTGTACATTGGGAATTCTTCTATGCTACGGTCAGTGATGTTAACTAATGTTGATTTCTATTTTGATGGGTCACAAACTCACAGTGGTCAAACATTTCCACATTGAAAAAACTCTACATCTTTTACTAGTGGAAACACATATTTAAGATTATAAATTTTAATTAGTGTCCTAGTGTCAGAACTAAATTTGCAGCATGTCTATTTTCAAGTCTTAAAAAAAAAACTATTATACTGTTATTATTTTATTTTTTTTAACGCTGATAATTGAACAAAGTTTGAAGACCACAAAATAGTAAACAAGAAACAGGAAAATGAGATGTCAGTAGACACCATCATAAGAGCAAAAACACGATATATAAAAAGCATGGATTACTACTCCCTAACTTACTGAGCCTCCAAAACAAGAAGGCGATGAAACCACGATGGAGCATTCCGAGCGATATACGACTGATGGCGTCTATCCCGACTCACACTGATAGCAATGGCCACGATGGAGCATTCCGAGCGATATACGACTGATGGCGCCTATCCCGATTCACACTGATAGCAATGGCCGCTGCAGTTTCATTACGTTCTGGAAGAGAATGATCTAGTCTCCATGAATCAATTCTTGAAAGTAGCCAGAAGATGCTGTGACAAATGTGGCTGAAACTAGGGTGTGCCATTGGATAAGTAATAGCGTCATGTAGGCACTCCGAGGAAGTCTCAAAAAAAATATTCGAGAAGTGTAGATTGTGCAAACATTCTACTGCCCAGAAGAGCGCCCATAGATCGGCTTCTGTCTTTGTGCGCATGTAAAAATAGGCCCGGCGACTATGGTTATACTGTTATTATACTGTTATTATTAGATTTGCTTTTGTTGTTTGCTAGAGCGCGGGTGTCTTCTCATTTTGCATTGAATAATATTTTATGATTGATGCACGGTTTAATTGTTTCTATATGTGTTACTTGTTCAAATTGTGGTTAGATTTTAAGTCAGACAAATGATATGTTACATAAAATATACACTAAAACCTCTATAAATTATAATGTTGGGACTTTAAAAATTTATTAGTTTATAGAGATATTAATTTAGAAAACTTTCCTTATTTAGATTTTTTTCTTTTAAAATAAATTTATTCTAAAATAAGAAAATATTTGATTTTACTATATAATTATTAATTATTTTTTTTTTTTTAAATGACATTTATATCAATTTTTTTATATTATTTTGTGTATATAATATATATTGCATAGAATCTAAATGTGGTTTAAGACATAATATTACCAAATATCATCAAAAATGTAATAAGTGTTAAGAAAATATAAAGAGAATTCCATTATGAATATAAAACAAACAATATAATGATATGTTCTTACTTATATAAAATGTGTATACATATAATTATTAATTTATAATTTTAATGGGACCATATATTTACATAAAGTTTTCTTAAAAATATTATCTTATTATTTTATCGATTTGTGTCAAATTTTGAACCGGTCCAAATTGGGACCGACAAAATTTATTAATTTATAGAGATTATTAATTTTTCGAGTATTAATTTATAGAGGTTCTACTGTATTAGCCATTTGATTATTTGTATAGGTATAGTTTTTATTTATTTATTGGATGTTCTTAGCTGAAAGTAAATATATTATTTGTTTTCCATTTCCTTAGAAAGCATTTTTTTGCCTTTCGCAAATAAGCAGAACAAGAACAAGTACTAATACTTACCACAAGGATTTAAATTGAAACATAACACAACATTTTACTCCTTACTTAGGCCATGAATTTAATTCTTTTTTGGAATCTCAACGACCCTCTGAGTCTTGATTTATAGCAACAGAGAAGATCCATTTGTCGCGACATTGTAGAAAATACTTATGGTGGACATGTTCGTTATGGTATGACTCAAGTCACTCAGCACAACAGCTAGCTTAAGGTTCAGTTTTCCTGTAAAGATTAGACCTCCTTGAGACAACACCCGGAGATTAGTCTAATGGAATTAAGGACTAGATTTGCATTTAAGGTGAAAACTGAAAGATGATCTGGAATATGATAATGTCTAAAAACATAAGATTGGAAACTTTTATTATTAAGGAAACTATTTTATTCGGTTTAGCTGTGATACAGTAAAAAAAATTCTTGAAATGGAAAATTGCAAAACCAGGAATGTTTTGAGAGAAAAAAACAGACTGGAGAATATTCGTTTTATATGATCCTTCTCAAACACAGCTTAGAAACAGAGCATGATTTACCGTTTTTCTTGTTAATCATATAACTCAATCATTATTTTACAATTACTTTTTTTTTTAAAAAAAAAGACAACGCACCAACAATCAACGAGTGATTTAAGACAGAGAAAATCTGTGTGTCAGGTAAGACCCAAGCTGTCCGGGCCCTACATTCCTTTAGGCATGTCTTTTTACTATTTAACCGAATCTTAGCTCTCTTGTTCTTTCACCAATCGGCATTTTCTTGATTTTGGTGAGAGCTTTCATTAAAAGAAAAAGACATTCCCTCGCCGGAATAATCACCGGAGATAAAGACAAGAATGGTGTCCCTGAAATTTCCATCGGAGATTCTCGCCGTCTTCGTCATCATCTCCGTGATTCTCTTGCCGATTGCTCATGCACAGTCACCTTCGCCAGCTCCAGCACCCACCAGCGATGGTATTATAATCTTCGATTAACATTTCCATTTTAGAATTTAAAGAATCTTTAAGAAGAATTGGATTATTAATGTTTGTTTTTGATATTGGGATGTGGCAGGAACATCGATAGATCAGGGGGTAGCGTATGTTCTAATGATGGTGGCTTTGGCGTTGACTTATTTCATTCATTGAACTTGATGGATCCTCCAGTTTGTTCTTCCTCCACAATGGTTTTGTTTCCTAGTGTTTGTGTTCTTCTTCATTTTGCCTTTCTTTATGTTCTTGTATTAACGTGAGATTCCTAGAAAGTCAAAAGATAGTTAGGTTTTGGACATCATGCTTTGTTCTGTTTTTGTTGGTTGGATGATTCGTGTAACTTCTTTATTCTTGTTTAATGAAAAAAAACGTAAGTATAATATTTTCAATCATGGGGTAGTTATATAGTTATTGTTATTGTTATTGAAAAGGAGAAAACCCATTATTTATTCAAAAGTATATTTGTAAATGACAGGATATTAATTTTGGGTTATTAACGAGCTGATAATTACTAGAAATGTTATTAGAAAATAACAAAATGGTACGGGTAAGAGTTATTTCCATCAATCATTATTATACACCATACACAATATTGAATCACTTCTTCCCCTCTAGTTTAACAAAGTACCATCTACCATGTGTTAAGTCCACCTTCTCACTAGTTTACACAAGTTGTCACAAACTCTCTTTGGGCGATCCCATTTGTAAGTTTTTTGTGACTATTCAAAGCCAGGGACCAAATGTAAAGAAAATAAATTGGAGACAATATAAGTTATTCTACCAATCACCATGCAACCGTTTAATAGAAAAAAAAGAGTTGCACCTACCTCTCTAAGATTCAGAACTGCAAATATCCTTACAATGGCAGGTAGTTGCAATATCTTTACCAAGCCTGGCCCTGAGGGAAACTAAGAAAGTATAGGCTTCCAACCTTGAGTTTAAATATAAATATATTTTGGTCGTTTAGAAGTTTTTTGAGTTGATTACATTTAGGGACACTTTTTGACTTTTCCTTACACCTAAAGACACTTCTTACATATGATATACTTTGTTGTGGGCCAGCATCAAAATGTGAATAATATTATCCTTAATGGAAATGACAATTGTGGACACTAAAGTAATGTATGGATGGGTGATTGATATTGCGTGCAAACGCACACCAATTAACCTAATGTGCACACTACCACAATGGAAATGACAATTGTGGACACTAAAGTAATGTATGGATGGGTGATTGATATTGCGTGCAAACGCACACCAATTAACCTAATGTGCACACTACCACAATCGAATGGTATGTCGATGTAGTACTTTAGGATCGAATGCACAGAGACCAAATATTACACTTTATTTCTATAGGATCAAATTCAAGCTAAAACGATTAAGTGTTGTAAAGAAACAAATTGTGAGAAACAAATAATTAAATTGGGTTTTAATTTCAGGATATAAGGATGTCAACCTAGGGTATCTCATTGGGTGTTAATCATGATGAACCAAACAATTATTCAAGATTTTTAAGTGCAGCCTAGAACTCAGGTTTCTTAACTAGAACACCCTGCTCTCGCAGGTGTGCTCCTTTCGCAGAGGAGCAATGGTACCTATGCTCTCTCGTGGATCAATACTCAACAGCAATGGTACCTATGCTCTTTCGCTGACCAGGGATGTGATGCTTGCTCTCAACAGATCTAGCAACCTAATTCAGGATTAATGATAAAAGATTAAACTTGGAATCAAATACTAAGTGATCAAATCAGCATCAGCAGTAAGAACAGAGGAGAGCAAATGCGAGAATGATGCTTATCTATGTTTAGTTCAATGGATCAACACCCTAGAACCCTAGGTTAACAAAGTGACTACTCAATCATGGCATAAAAGAACACACAAATCATGACTGAATAATGCATTAGATAAATTAAAGTATAAAGTGGGTTCAGGGATTTCTTCTCTAGAAACCAAGAGGAGGAAGCCTTGGCCCTTATAAAATAGCTAGAACAAATCTTCAACAAAAAGTCTCAAAATAGTTTCTTGTGTAAAAACTAGTAAAACTCTCTGTGTGTTTTTGAGTAGAGGCGGCCAGAGATATTTTATTGGAGGGACGGCGCCTGCTAGGGTAGAGAGGGAGTGCTTTTTTGAATCTTTCCCAAAATAGATCATAGGTCTCATTAAAGGACGGGAGCAAACGGGTGTTTGCTCCGCGATAGAGGGAGCAGGCAGAGGGTTGCTCCGTTCGGATGCTCTGCGATGGAAAACTCTGGTTTTTGCATTCTTTCTTCCATATGCTCCTTCTGGTGCATTCCAACTCGTTCTACACCTGAAATAACTCAAAACACACTAAGAACACTCCAGGAAAGCATAAATATGATATGAAAAGTATGTGTGTATCATGTCAAAAACACAACATATCAGTGATGAGTGGATGGATGATTTTTGGACGGAGTATACGTGGACGAATGAACGAGTATAATTGCCTAATCTAATCAGCTCCAAGGGTAAGACTTGCGAAAAATTCAGGGTATTAGACTATTAGATGAAAATCCAAAGGTTCCTTGCTCAAATTGTTACCAGAACCTAGCATGATGTCTTCGTCTATCTACTTCACTCTAAAATCCACTCAAATCTGCAACCAGAAAGCCTATGACACAATCAGAAAGTTATGTCGATTCTTTCCTACAAGGAAGCAACTAGCCCCAAAAAAAATAGAAATTTTCCATCAATAAGCAATTCAGTTGTCACTCTCATGCATCACGGAACTCAACAACGCCAGTATTGAACCAAATACATAATGTAGGGAGATCTACTAGCAATAGTATATGGATAGAAAACACAATTGTGGACAAGATTTTGTATACATAAAAAATTATCCATAAAGTTGTGTCCACATACACACAAAAAACAGTAGGCCTAAGTAGCCTCAATCAATGCTAATACCTTGACATGTTTTGACTTCATGTCCACGCTTTCAACCATCCACAAATACTAATACCTCACAACTAAGGTAACTTAGGAAGACAAACATAAACTAAAAAAACTCTTAACACTAAACAAGTTCTACATTACCAAATCAACTGACCACGATTTTTCCAATGAACCTTAATGTTTTCAAATTGCACAAAACAGTCTTAAACAAAAATAATCTGAATCCTAACCAATTATAGCCTTCACAATCATTGAATAGTTTTTTTTTAAATGTGAGCAATCATGTTTAGATAAGAACTATAAAAAAGTTGATAACTTTACCTTGCATGTCGGCAACTAATGATCTTGGGAACAAGGATGTGCGGAGGTGGAAATTGGAATTCAATCGAGATAAGGTTTTAGCAAACGCCATCTTCTTCTTTACATAGCTTGGTTTCTCCATAAATTGGCTTCTCCATAAATTGGTTTCTTCTTCTCCATAGCTTGGAATTCTAAACAGAGTCCAAACCAGATTCAAGAACAATCAAATCTTTAAAATCCAGACCATAGCTTGGTTTCTAACGTGCGTATCCCAGCCCCAGAGAATCCAAAGAACGAAGAAGAAGAAGAAGGAGGAGAAACAGAAATGATTAATCCGAGTTCGATTCTGAATCAGATCTTCAGCATGTTGTTGGTAAGTTTGAAACCAGTCTTCTCCGACACATCTCCTTTTTCTTCTCCGACACAGATCTTGTCTCCACTCCAGCTACACAATAAACGCCACTAAGAAGGTTTAGATCTGTTGGAGAGAGATAGCAGAGAGATCAAAAGAAAAAATCTGCGACTTTCCAATTTCACGAGTTAAGAGGCTGCAAAATTAGACTTCAAGAAATTGGGAAAAAATAAATTTATTTGTTATTGTTGGGAATAAGCCAGTCACGTGTGTAAATAAAAAATTAGTTGATTTAAATGAATTTAGGGTATTTTGGTCTAAACACACACAAAAAGTGTGTTTCAGGCATGAAGTACCTCTTGGTATAATTGTAAAGTAGAAAAGTGTCTCTAGAACTAAAAAAATCAAGTTTCTATAGTTCAGTGCTATAAAAAAGATTGCAATGAGCTTAGTTTAGTAGCTTAAGTTCGAACCCATTAGTTGGTCATTTCAATTTTTTTTATATATTTAGCTTGTGGTCTCTCAAAACTCAAGGCCGCTATTGCTTTACTAAAAATGAACTATGACATCAATTTTTTCATATGGTTAAGTTTTGATGTCCCACCTAGTTGTTTATGGTAAACATAGTTTTGATTGGCTTGTTTGTGTATTTTTTTATAATTCATTTCGTGCAACTGAAGAGAGGCAATAAAAGTCATTAGACCATAGTAAGGGTTGGGCAAAAAAATCCAAACCCGAAAATCTAAAATGAATCTGATCCAAAAAATAGTACAGAAACCAAATTGAAGTTGGTTAAATACCGTTAATAGGGTTAAAATTTTGGTATCTAGAGTACTCGAACCACACCTGATCCGAACCGAAATATTTAGGTATCCAAATATATTAGAATTAGAATCAAATTTATATAAATGAATTGATTAGCTATTTTTAATTTTTAATATTAAAAAGTATCTGAACATGTAACATATTTTGAAAATTGTCCAAAACAAAATATATACAAATAATCAAAAATAAATATCGAAACTAGCTAACAATACTTAAAACACCAAAAATATTTAAAATATCTATTAATTCTCCATCTAAATATTTAAGTCAAACTAACTTTTATGTAAGTTTAAATATTTTAGCATACATTAATCAAAGTTATATGTTATATCATTTTATTTTCCAATTTTGAGAAAGCTAAAGTATATATTAATCACATTTATAAGTTATATATCATTTTACTTTCTAATTTTGAGAAAATTAAAGTATATAATAATTTTAAAACTTTTAAAAATAATTTAACGGGTTATCCGAAGCTGGACTGGACCAGCAAAATCCGAATTCGAACCAAAATTTATAAATACCAATGGAGCTGATATTTTAAACCAGAAAAAAACAAAACCCGAGTGGAATCGAATATCTACCCCTCAATATCAATATCATACACTGCAAATCAATATCATAGAGAGGGACTGCAATTTAATCTATAAGCTGCAGTGACAGACTCAGCGACGCCTCCAGGAATAACATGGTTATAGGGAGAATGAGTGAGCTCAGCCTGAACCACTGCTTCCGCGTCTTCACTTGTTATCTTCACATCAATCTTCGCGATAATATCGCGCAGATGAATCTTATTCTCATCTTCTTTACCTATCTTTTTGTTATGAGCAACCGCCTCATTTACCACAGCTGTGATACTACCACTGCTCTATATACTGCCTCCCGTAGCTCTAGCTTCCACCACTTTTATGGCAGCTAAGTCTCTGGTTTCCACAGGCTTGTGGCCGACGTTAATGGCTGCTGCTTTGAGAGCCTCCATCAATCTTGTCGACCTTCCAATAAGGGCATTAGCCGCCGTGGAAAATTCCTCTGTGGAACCTACAAACTTTTCTTCTTCTTTTTTTGGTAAAACGTTAAATTGATTATACCAATTTTTTTTCTGTTTTGGACAGAAGTTACAAGAGGATACTAGTAGCAGAGAAATGAATGAAACTAAACAACAGAGCTAACTCAACCACATCTTAACTTAGAATAAAGACTAGAAGGTTTACACATCACTTGATGTCTCTATCCCACATCGGAATCAAACAAGGGACTCAACACACAAGAAATCCAAAGAACCCACCACTAGCTTATGTCACTACAAAACCTATGTCTTGTTGGACATATAAGTTACTACCTTGTTTTCCTAATGGTTGTATCATTTGCTTCTTGCAAGTTCTAACACAAACGCGCTTATTATTTTGGTTCGTTAGTAGAGCATGCACAATAACAAAAACCAATATCTATATTACATGTCCACCGAGATTAGATTGAGAGACCCTAAAGTGCTCCTCTACAGAGATGTTGGTGAAACTAGCACCATCCTTTGATGCAGTCATTTTTTAAGTATTTGAACTCCGTTCTTGTTGGTTTTTTTTTCTCTAGTTTAAATAAGCCTCAACATCACCAGATACACGTCAGTGTTTAACAGTCCACGTGTTCACATTTGGTGCGACAGTGACCTTCCATCCATCAGTGGGGCCTCACTGAACAACATTAAGCATTTAAGTTGAACACATCTCTGAGCAAAAAATAACACGTGCATTTCTGGGCCGGATGAGTTCCAACCCGTTTTCGAAAAAATTCAGCCCTAGCTGAGAGGCATAGTGAAGATTGATTCATTGGCTCACTAATAGCCATATATACACTACAAGAAAACACATCGATTCCTAGGGACGATTTCCTCGGAATGTCGTCGGAATCAGGCGATTCCGACGATATTCCGAAAAAATGTTCCTCGGAAAATTCTCCTCGGAATCGCAGTTTTCGTCGGAATTTCCTGGGAATATTCCGAGGACATTCCGACGGACAATATTCCGAGGACATTCCGAGGACGTTTTCCGATGCAACCGTTTGTCGGAATTCCAACAAAACTTTCCGAGGGAAGAAACTACTTGAAATATTCCCAGGAACCCATCCGTCGGAATATTCCGAGGACTTCAAACTCTCGGTAAATTCCGAGGAAAGGTATTCCTCGGAATAATTCGAGGGATGGTATTCCTCAGAATATTTCGACGGAGATTCCGAGGAATGTTTTCCCTCAGAATATTCCGAGGAATATCATTCCTCGGAAATTTCGTAATTTTTAATTTTTTAAAAAATAATATAAATTTATTTTTAAAAAATTAAAATTCAAAATTAAAATTTAAAATTTTTAAATTGAAAATTGAAATTCAAATAAAAACATAATATAGATAATGTTAAAAAGTAATATTCAAAACAGAAATTCAAAACAGAAACAAGAAATAAAAAGAACTACTCCTCGTCGTCGTCGTCGTCGAAGTTATG